CATATAAAGAAGCTTCACCAGTCACAGCGAACTAAAGTACCTTGTTTCTAAGAAAGTTAGCTAAACCGTCACGATATTTACCTTTRATGGCATGAGCTTTGACTTTCCAGCTACGATCATTGCTGGCGACAAGGAGGAGCTCACTGAGCATCTTTTTGTCTGTTATTCTTAACTGACCAACCGCCTAGAAAATATAAAAAAAGTTATTAACATGCGGGAACTACAGGCTCACACATTGTAAAAAAAATCGAGGTTGACATTTACATTCGGRAACTGACGAGATGTTAAGCTACGGGGCTATTGGAGTGCAAGYACTAGAGTGAAGTCAAAACGCCCGTGAAATAGGTATTAACGTATACATCTTAGTACGCTCTAATTGCATTATTTTCSTTTGAGTCTATTTGACTATCACACTTTAAAATTCAAATATTGTTTCACGGGTTAATTGACTTACTTCACTGTTAAAGCATGAAAACTTTAAGAAATTAAATAGTACTGAATTTTAATAAATCAGAGTTTAGTCAAAACCTGTGAAATAKATATTACTCTAATACAATTTAGTACGATTTCGTGGCAGTTGTTTTGTGTATATATGACTATAAAACTTAATAAATACATTTTGTTTCACGGGTTTAATGACTTCACTCTATGTGATTTCTAGCCTCCTCCACATGCAATTCTTTTTTTCCTTCTTTGGGCTTCCTTTGTAACGGTCATTTTGGCAGGAAGCCCGTGATTCTTAGTGATGCCTGCGGAGGAGGCTATGTGATTTCTTTTTTTTTACTTTCAAATCTTCACTATATTGCGCTGTTGAGAGTATTTGGCTAGCACCTTTTCACGCCTTCAGTGCTTGCATTCAGCTTGGAGAAATAAGGCAAGTAATGTTTTGTTAGTAATGTTTTGAGGGTACTCACCATTGCAGCTTCAATCCTAACTGATACGTACTCGCTCTTAAAGCATTCTATAATAGCAGGTAGTAGCCGTACCGTCATGATGCCGAGGTTGGACAGCTGGTAAAATAATGGATTAAGACGCTTTAATAATAGAGATAGACACTAGCCCTACCGCCACTATGGCTAATGACTGCTGGGAGATTCGTAAATAAATTTATCATATAATTATCTATGAAATAACTATATTTCTCCATTTCGTAAAATTGATATTT